AGCAGTAGCAGTAGCGGTAGTAGTAGCAGTAGTAGTAGTAGTAGTAGTAGTAGTAGTAGTAGCAGCAGCAGTGGCAGTGGCAGTGTCCGGCAGTCCTGCAGAAGGTCGCTGCGGGTGAAATTTGCATCACGGCAAAGCAAGATGGTGTCGGATGAATGGAACGAGCGGTCGGTGAGGGAAAAGCCCACCCGAGTATGGCAGTGTCCACATTGCGAACAACAGTTCACAACCATGGCTGCACTTAAGATACACGCACAGCGCAGCCACGACCGTCGTGATGTACAAGAACAAACATCATCGCGCAGTGTGCTACGCCTTCCATGCAGTGCCACTACTGTGGAGGCCGCTACAAGGACTGGCGCGGTCACGTTCCCAAATGTACCGTAATGTGGCAGGCTGCTATGTTGTGCAGTCACTGTAGTCCTCACTGGAAAGATGGCGTTCGCTGCGGACAAGGAGATGGAGGAGTTCTTCGGATTAGTGGTGAAACCGGAAACCTCGACAGAGAAGAACACCGAATCGGATGCTCCCAACTGGAAGCGCCGCCGGGGAGCAGCAGTCTGCACGAGAATAAATGGGAGCGGAGAACAACGGGTGGAACAATGGGTGGAGCGCCGGGAGAGACAGCGGTCCTTTGGTTCCTACTTTAGCAAAGCTGGCGGTGAAACTGGACGAGGAAATTCGCATCCTCATGCAGAACACGGCCATGGCTCAAACTCAGCTCTTCCACATCTCTACAACACGGCCTTCGAATTCACGAATCAACAAAAGGACAACCCAAAATTCAGTCTGTTGCATGTCCCACTGAGATCACTGTTGGCCTTGGCATTGTTTCGAGAGCTCCGGAAGTCGGTTGGAAAATCTTCTCAAGACCCCGGAGCTGATTCAGAATGCGGAAAGCAGAGGATGACGGGACCAAGGAGGGTGGAAATTTCAGGTGTGGAATCCCACACTTCACCACTTGGAGGTGGACCGGGACAAGCCAACGGTGCCGGATGGCCAGATGCAGCTGGTGATTCAGCAAATATAGTGGAATGCCTGAAGCAACCGGTGGTCCATCACTTTCCTTGAAGTGTGACTGCACCTTCCCCGCATTGCCGCGGCAACTTGAGTCACAACTTCCTTCGTGAGTGCTACCACTGCTAGTTACGAATCAACTGAATGTGATTTGCAACGGCTCCCACCTGCAGCGTCTCCGCCATACCACTCCTTCATCGTGGCGTACAGCACCTCTCGGTCGCCTTTGATCGCTGAGATGTTGCGGATCTTGCGGCTTTGGTGACTTCTGTCGTTTGGAGCCTTTGCATTCGAGGTGGCAGCAGTTCGGACAATCTCGGTTTGGCCTTTGGGGTTTTGGTCGCTTTTTGCAAGGTTCAGGGTATTGCGGTTTAGGAAGCGCTCGGGCAGAAATCAACACACAAGTTGCGAAATCTAAGCAACAGTCTACGTCTGCAAGGAACCCAGGCTCCGCAGCCTGAAACCCCTGGTTTTCTACTTCACAGCTCGCTCCACATGAAATCAAGGCCGGCTGCATGGCAGCCGTGCTCCCGTGATGGGGTCTCGATGGTCGATGGAGCAGCAGAGGCACTTCGCATCCTTGGGCTTTGTCAAGCGGTTTCGTATCATGCCAATGGAGTCGCGAAAATCAGGAAGTCGAGAAAGTCAGCTGGACTTCGACTGTTGCGTGACTTTTTTCTAGCTGCTCGCAACAAAGCTCTCCACTGCTCTGTTTGCACTCGGTGTTGAAGGTTGCGCCCTTGTGCTTGGAGGTCACTGCCGAAGCTACCCATTTGTGTGCAAACGAATCGCGACTCTGTGGGACCATCTCATCGTACAAGCTCCCCGAAGGTGTGCCCTACCAAGCTGGCAAGCTAGGTACGCTAGTGTGGGCATCGCCGTGCGCGAACAGAAGCCTTCTAGTCTTCGCATGAGTTGCACGGGTCGTGGACCGTGCAACCCGAAGGACGAGCACCCTCGCATCGCTCGTCACTTGTCGAGGTAACGTTGAAATCCCCGAGCACTGAACCGGGCCCCGAGCATCTTGTGATCCCTTAGCACAAAAGCCCCCCCCGCATCAGCAACGTTCGTCCGGAGAAACTACAATTCTCAGATGCGGTGGAGCGATTGCCTGCACCCTAACGGAACAGAAGAGGGTGCTATCCCTACTTTGCTATTCTCAACTCAGTATCCGCCAGTGGTCAGCAATTCGAACCTGCAGTGCTTATGACTCCGAGAATCCTGGACGCGAAAATTTCGCAGCTGCTGTGGCATAACCTCCATGTCCTCACTCATCTCCATGCCGACGTAGAAGGCAACGGGCAGCAAGACGAAACAGAAGATAAACATGGATACGATTGCAGCCACTGTCTCGAACACGAAACTCGACTCAGTCTCACTCGAGTTATAGTCCCAGAAAACCAATTTGGTCGTGTTGAAGCCAATATTCAATAAATACCAACATCCAGACACCAAGAGGAGCAAGACGGTGCTCTTCAACGGCATCAAGCGTATGCGCTTACGTCGCTCCGGATCTTTCATGAATGTGGCAATCTCCTTGGCCGCTTTTCTAAAGTTTGCAAGTAGCAGTTTCACTTCTACTGCACTAAGTCAAGAAAGCCGGTCCCAAGAGCACATAAAACTGCACAGTTGTTGCAAAAGTGCCGTCAAGTCGCGAAAACGCACCATAATCTCGTAAAGTACCTAAACACTGTTGTTTAGTCCTGTCTTGCGTTGTGAACAGTGTTGCGAGTCGACTTGTTTGGAATCGGACTGCATTGAGAAGCTCCTACGGCGTGTTGCATTTGTGTTGAATTGGGCCAGGATGGAGTGCCTGTTTGCAACAGATGACTTCATGGGCTCGCGACCCTTGTGCATCCGGCTGGCTCGTCACGTTTGATAGTTACTAGTTAACTCTCGTCTGGAGCCTGTATTGAGCAAGTCTAGACTCTGAGCCTTCACGCCTGGCAAACTAAGCCCCTGCTCAACGATTGGCCAGACACACCAGAATGCTCCTCCCCAGTTTCTGATTTCTGTCATTGGCGTGGGACCTCGATGACAGCAGCACAATCAGCCTCGGCTGCGGAAAGGTTACGGTTGGGCTCGGCGGCATAGATGGTAGCAGTCACCTGTTCTCTGATCTGGCGCCTAGCACTTCAGCTCGGCGCTCAAGTTGAACGACCATTGCTCTAAAGAAATCGGCTAAACACAGGTCACCACATCCACGATCTGCATCTCAAAGACATCTGCGCAAACCAAGACTTCAATGTTCGGACAAATTGCTTCATGCCCTCCGTCAGAACCCCTGTACATCAACGGCAACACAGCGAGACTCCAGCGCTGCAGGGCTCTGTGCGTCCTCGCAACCTATACAACACCCGATGTAAGGCAGAAGCTTGCTTAAATCTTAAATGTCTTTAAATCTGAGGAGAATCCGTGCACGCGTCTTTAGAAGGACACCGGGCAGATTCTCACAGAACGCTTCCACGATCTCGCTCTGCTTGACTCCCCGCATAAAATCCGGGATTAAGTCCGCTTCTAACACCGAGCCAGCACTGCAAGCCCAATGCCTGGTTGCTGCCGCTTCTTGACGAGAGACGTCTCAATTCTCGTAGTCGTGAAGAATTCCGAATGCTTGCGCAGGACAGTGTTGAACTCAACTGTGTGTTCGCTGCAAACTTGTGCCGATGGAGTAAGCAAGTGACCTCATGCATCTCCCGCAGGTATGTCGCTACAGCACGAGTTGTCTGCAAGGACTCCATCAGAAGGGGCCCGAGTCAACACAAACAACCTGCCGGCCTTCTGGCATCGGTGGCGTCTGTCAGGCAGAAACACGCACGTCTGCAGCCATCGCATGTCCCATATGGAGGTCAGATCTTCGTTGCCGACCGTCAAGAAGTCAGGCTCTGCTGGGTTCATGGATGGGACTACCACGTGCTGGGAACGCGCTAGGCATTAGTCGTGTCGTGATGGATGGCTCAGGATTTCGAGGGGCACCCATCCGAACGCTCAAACTTACGACTATGCATTTAGATTTCGTCGGAGCGTGCATCAGCGACAATTTCAGGAGGGTTCCTGGGAGGGCTCTGCTTGCTCCAAAGCTCATCAAATGCAAGCTGAGGAGCTCCTGCGAATTGAGCAAAAACGCAGCCAGTCCCATAATTGCTTTGTGTTTCAACCTTGGACTGAAACGATGCCTACAAGCATCAACTGCAGGCAGGTGAGCCTATTCTTACCAGTTCTACCAGCAGGCCTAGATTGCAGCAATCAACATCCGGAAAAACGATTTCTCTGTGATACAAGTTGAGGTTTTCGTCCCGTCGATTCAAGTTGAACTGCCCAGGACTCTCATGTGCCCCTTCCGTTGTCGGCCTAGCTGCTCATCGTCATGCTGTGCCACGCACACCTGGCCAAACTCGAGACTGAAACCAATTTGCATGTCTACAAAAATCTGCCAGGAGCGGCTCCAAGCTTTCAGGGGCTGTTCGAGTCCCCCCCCACCTTGTCCAGAAACATCATCCGAGAGTGCCGGCAAGGCCTCGCATAAAACTTGCGCCTCAGGCCTTCTGCAAGTGCCGAAGCGGTTAAAGACTCTGCAGAACAGCATGAAACAAAGTTCTCCTGCAAGCGATGAAGCCCCGAATCCGCTCAAAGCCCAGGCACATTTGCAGCCGCTGCCAGAAGAAAAAGACGAAGAAGTAGATGAAGTGGCCTGAAGACCGCTTCCGCAAGACAACACTTTGGAATCGAGTTTTTCATGACTTGGAAACGATGCATTCCAAAAGACGGTTCTCTTTCCCTTTATGGAAATGATCAGATCTTTCGCTGCTCACAAGCTGCACCAACACTCAGACTCTGCACCCCGATTTGCAAGCTACACTGGGTCCACTCTGTACACACAAAAGCATAGTCGCCAAACGCCACAGTCCAGTGTTCATCTGGAAGACATCCTCAGCTTCACAATGACCTTTTTGGATGACCGCAAACTCGCTTGCACAAACAGAATGAACCTGTCACGAACGACCGTGGATACTGGTGATGTCGTTGATGACACAGCCTGATACTGCGAGTCATGCATCAACAGTTCAGGGACTCTGTATCGCTGCGTCTGCGCCAAGACTTCATGTGCCATGAGATGCCGTAGACAACCGGGGTTGGCTCTCGTGTGCGAGAAGCGATGGATTCAGCAGATCAAAGCGTGGATCCTGGCTGCAATAAGTGGCTGCGGCATGACCCTCGCAGGGATCTTTGAGAAGTGACTTCCGCAGGCTGCTTTGGGCAACCTTGTTGTGATTCGACGATGTCTGAGGGGCCACGGTCTTTGCTGATAAGCGGCCGTAACCACGGAGAATGCCCACCAATACGCTGACCACAAGGCACGACCAAAAGGCAGCACCTTAACCACAGCGTTGTCAACAAACATAGATACCTAATGCTGCAAGGCTTAAGAAGGACTTCTGATTCTTCAGGGAAGGCGGCTGGTATGTGTGCTCTTAGACTCTGAAACTACATCAACTAAACTAGTCCAGTGTGTCAGATTCCAAGTAGGATCTGCCGCACATCCGTTGATGAAATTGGTACCAAGCAAAGGCTGGAAATTGGAGCAGGCCGGGGATATCTGCGATGTGACAAATGTTTCTTTCTCGCCACATTAGCCTAAACCCTCAAAATCATTCAGCGGCAACACCGACTTGGTCCCAAATCCTGTCTGACTACCGAACTCACAAGAGGAGCCATGGCTTTGCGCAGCGTGCCTGAGTTGAAGATGATCAGTAGGGAAAGAAACCTAGGCTGGCTCGGAGAGCGCACGTCTTAGGACTTCCAGTGCAACTAGGACCCAGGAACACTCAGGTCTCTTCGGCGAAGTATCACCGGAGTTTGCTTTGACCGATCAGTGTTGAATCTTCTTTCGGACCCAGAGCAAAGCGCGCGGCCGTCCAAGCCGTGCTTTTGGCTCAGCCCAACAAGAGCACGAAGACAAGGGAAGGACCAGCCAAGGGAAGGAAGGCCCCTTTCTATGGGATGTTGGATCAGACGACTCCATCTGCAGGCATTGTGGCTTACTGAAAATACAGAACACTCAAGGGGGACCCCCAAGGCCTTCAACTCAGCTAAAAAACGGTCAGCATCCTAAACCGAGATCAAAGATCAGCAAAGCAAGCTGACTTGTTTGATGATTTTGGGTTCCGTCCTCAAGTCCACCGGCCCGTGCCTTTCACTTAAACGAGTGGGCTAAATTAAACCTTAGCCTTGGCCGAGTGGCTTTAGCCAACCACTCGAGGCCCAATCATGGCTGAGGAAGCCATCAAAGGTGTTGGTGGGACGGCTGAGCGCGTAGCTCCTTGGGGATTTCTGCTTCCCCAGCATCGAAGCGAAGTGATGAAAGGTTTGCGGCAGGTTGTCTACAGTTGGAGGCCAGGAGGCACAAGCTAGGCCAAAGAACTCTCGGCAGGAAAGTCTCCGTCAATAGACACGGACTGTCTATGTAATTCGTCCACTTCATGGAAACAGCCGTGGCTATATGTGTAGGTTGAGAAAGCTGCCCAGCCCAATGATCATTTGAAGGCAACATCCATTGCTGGGAGGGGTGTTGACTTCATGATTGCGTACTTGAACAGGAATATTTACCTGTTTCAAATCAAAACCGCAAATGTCAAAATCCTAACTAAGTTAACCAACTAACCAACCCTTTCACCCTCCAGGGTACCGTATCCCTGAACCCCTGCTCCGGTTGTGCTGGAGATCATGGGTGTCACGTCATTTCGCCAGTGGTGACCCCACGCAGACAGCGCTTCGTGCAGCGGTAGGCCACGAAGAAGATCGGGCTCAAGCCTGAGAGGATAGAGTCTACGGGACTTCGGTCTCTACGACATTGCAAGCAAGGGAGAACAACAACACTGTCAAGGGCAACGAGACAACAAAGTGAAAATAATGACACAATTAGACACCATCACCACTGGTACTAGCCGCAGCACCACAAGCACCCAGGTTCAAGACCCCGCAACCTCAATGCTAGAACTGGAGCAACACCGCAGCAGCAACCCCGATCAAAAGCGGTCACACAGGGACACATAACATTCCTTCGGGGGTTGAGGCGAGTTGTGCCCCCAAAAACTTGCAAGGCACCAACTCTATTAGAACCCCAAGCCTCCGACCCTCGCTTGCTAGCAGAGCCAGGCGGCTGACTTGAAACTGTGTTCTTCGAAACGGATCGGTCTTCGTGCTGGGAGGGAAGCGTCCCAGGACATGGCATCAAAGCTGCAATGAGACAGTCTTAGAATCATCTGAAAAGGACTCAAACCAAAGAGCTTTCGTTGCACATTCTTTCCACATCTTAAAGCCGTGTATCAGCCAACGTTGACCCGTACTCAGCCGCTATGGAAAGGAGCACCTAAACCAACATCGTCTGGCTGCTGCTGTGATCCAAAACAATCCGTTCGCCAGATAGGGATGCGCGTACATCTGCCGGCCGATGCTGCCTTCGACAGCAAGGCCATGTGGTAAGCACAACTCTGCCGTGTAAGCAGCTTATCAACTTGTCCAGCTGGGGAGTTCTCTGCTCTCTGCTAAACAAGACAGGCCTTGTGCTGAAATGAACTAATTAATCGTGCCCTGGAGTTGACCGAAATGTAAAACCCCGTCGAAACAAGGTGAAGGCCAAGCACAGCCGCAAAACCATGTGCATGATGAAGAAGATGACATCTCAACATGCAAATAAATCATGCTCTCATGTACCGAGCAATTTCAGCCGAGCGTGGAACCTGTTTAGTCGGCAAGTGTCAGTGCCCCAGATGTGTAAAGGCGACAGACGGAGAGAGTGAGCTGAGGCTCGTTGGCCCCTTTGGCTTCAACACACACTAATTCAAGCTGCACCAGAAACACTGGATGTGCAAGCTCTGCATTTCGCATTCAACCATGTTCAAACAGCTGCATTTCACGTCACGTCTACGACGTCACGACTGCAGATCCACTTTGTTGGCACGGGCTTGGTCGTGCGACTCCGGCTCGCCTCAGGAAGTTGTGTCAGCAGGCTCTCGAGACTCGGTACAAGAAGCTGCCAAATTCGCTTCGAGTTACCTTCCGGAGCCTCAGGAGAAACAGGACTGAAGTGGCCATCTCCTCGCGAAAGGGTCTTGCTCGGCCGTAATACCAACCCAATCACAACATTATCACCAGTCTGCGAACGAGGTTGGAGGAAACCAAACCTAAGAACAAGCAAGGAGGGTGGCCCCAAACACCGTTCCAAGGGCCCGGGACGGAGCCTGGCACGGTGGTCGCGGCATCTGCGTTGCGCTGTCGGCTGCTCCTCCACTGGCGCAAGCGGCGAGCGACAGGGCCCAGAAACACCTGGAAATCTCCAAGGACGTTTTGCAAGAAACCCTGCTGCATTCCGGCCACATGCGATGCGACCACGTGATCCGTGCCGACATGTCCGTTGTTCTGCCGATCACTGAGTGCTTGGCGTACTTCATGACGAAATGCTGAAGGAATGTGAGTAAGGCAAGGATGCCCCAAAGCTTCCACTTGAAGTCATCGGAGAAGCCTTGTACTTGATACGGTACATGATGAGGACACAAGCAGTTCCTTGAAAACCTGCTAAGGCAATCGAGGAGCAGTTGTTGGGACCGATGCAGGCTCCGACTTTGAAGCCTTTGCCGGTGCTGATGTCTAGGTGATCGAGTGGCAGGTGTTCCAGGGTAGCAGTCGGAGGAAGGCAGCCGTTGTCTGGCGAAGGCAGCCACGGGGAATCTCCAGCTTGGGGCAGATAGGATGTGTGATTCTGCCAATATTTCACCTGCAGACGGCTGGCGGACACCGGAAGAACATATCTCTCAGTCCAGTTTTAGCGCACTACGCAGCTCCCCATCACTCTGCTGAGATAAAGCCTGGCCTGAGGCCCGAGGAAGCATTCGCCGACACCTCCCACGCTGATGTCATCAAGAAGGGGCAGCGAACTGCAAGCCAAGGAGCTCCTTGCTGTGCCCGCCCGGCCCGTCCCGTTGCTCCGTTGTGCTCTAAGGCTCTAAGGAACAATACGGAACAATCCTGGAAGTGAAGCGACTAAAATCAGCCAAGGCTCGGCGTGTCACAATTCACTCGGAATATGCAATTCAATTGATTTGGTGAGGAAAAGATGAGAAAGCTCGCAAGACACAGACTAGAAAGGTACGCTGCGCAGATGCCCCAATTCTGCAAAATGTTTCTGCGGAAGTTGCCGCCATAGGTGTTCACATACGAAGTATTCGCCAGACCGACCAAGACACAAACCGCACAAACAGCACCATCATAGTTGTCTCCTTTCAACATCCAAAGGTGGGGAAGAATGGAGATGTCAAAGATGGGATCCAGGGGATCGTACCATGCTTCCACCTTCAACATGTACAACGCGCAGCCGAAGAAGAGCCAGTTCAGGAGGACTTGCGAGGCGATAGTGAGAAGAGTTCTTGCTCCCAGCAGCGTCGCGGTGGGTCGCACCTTTGCCAAACACGATAAGGCTTTGGATTGCGTCATGAAGAACGTCATGATCATCCCAAACCCGATGTCCTTCGTCAGCCATACCCACTCTCCGACAGTGACATTGTGAGCAATATGGACCGCTGTCATCATGCCAGTAAGAGAGAAGGACTGCACGATGAAGTAAGCAAAGGTGGCCAAATTCGTTGCCAAGCAGGCACGTCCTTCTCGAATGAGGTCTGGGATGGTAAGGAGTGAGATCTGACCATCAATGCTGTCGTCTTGTGAGCCGTCTTCAAGTCTCCCAGTTGAGAAAGGAGCCACCAAGGAAGCTTCTGCGCTAGACAATGCTATGCCAACATGCGCTGCACGCAAACCTCCACAGTCGTTGCCTCCATCGCCGGCCATTCCGACAATCAGACCTTGACGCTGAAGATATGCAACGACGTTGATCTTATCATCCGGCTTCATCCTACCGAAGACAACGCAACGCTGCCAGAGCTTCTGCAGCAGAAGTGGCTCATTCTCCAAAAGATGATGCCATGCGGGGCAGCTGAGGGCAAGCTGACACTCACAAGACTCGACCTGGACGGTGTGACAAGTGCTTTGCTTTTGGGCTTGGCCTTGGCCTTCCATGTCCATATCCTCGGGGTCTTGCCAAACAAGCTTGTGATCCTGAACCGTAGCTAGCAGGCAGTCACCTGACACGATGCCACACTGCCTGCCAATAGCAATGCCAGTAAGCTCGCTGTCCCCCGTGCAAATGACAGATCGAATGTCACCTTCCTTGAGCTGCTGGATAGCTTGGGGGGCTTCCCTCTTCATCTCATTTCTGAAGAGCAAGAGTCCACAGAATTGGACATTCTGCTCCAGTTCCGAGCGCGACATTTCAGCCACCTCCGAATTGGACTTCTCCGGAAGGCTTCTATGGCAAATGCTCAGGGCATAGTAGTTAGCCTTGGCATGGGCACTGATGGTCGCAGCATAGTCAGCTGGTAAGGACGAAGGACAGGCCACTGCCTGAATCTTGTCGGGCGAGCCTTTCACAAAGACCTCAAGCTGTCCTCGGGACCTCCGAACGACGACGCCACTTGTCATGCTGTGGTGGTCAAACTGCATTTCTCGGACGATTTCAATCTCTTCATCTGGAAGGATGATGGCTTTTTGAATGATCCTGCAGCTTGTCTTCCGCAACATGGCGCACTCCAGCTCGTTTCCCACAAGGCTCCCGTCGTCAAGCTGCTTCACCTCTGCCAAACAACAACAAATAAACGCTCCCATGGTTGTTTCCTAGGGGTCATGACCTCGAAATACTTCTCATCACTTGTGACACCTCGTTTAAGCTGGCTCGACTACCCGTTGGGAGGGAGCTGGCATGGGGCTCTGCAGTCTGGGCAATGCCTGGGACTTAGGCCTGAGAAGAGCAGCGCAGCAGGGAAAAGGCAGTGGCGCTTGCCGGAACAGTGGCCCGTAAGCAACTCCTTTGATGGCACCGTTCCCTAAAGGAAAATCCAGTCGAATCCCACCCGAGGGACCTAATTACCGTTCTCTCGGGGCTGCGGCCGGTTGGCAGTCGCATGGAACAGCCTGGAGTCGCGAAAGAGCCAACTCAATCCACGATATGGTGATTCTCTGGCCAAGTCACGGTGTGGCATACGGCCACCGCACACCGTAGTAGATTCGGAAGCTTGTGTGGCCCGTCCACGTTGCCCGACTCTGGTTCACCATCTATCCAAAGCAGCGGCTGGAAGTGCGCAGTCTCGTCCAACTGTTGGGCGGCTTGCACGCTCACGAGATCCATTGAAGACTTCGTAATGGTGCCAGTCTTGTCGAAAACCATGGTGGAGATCTTCCCTGCTATAGGGATTCGGCCAGGCTCCAAGCATTTGATTTGGTATCCTCGGGCAGCTGTGAGACGCTTTGCCGACACGGACTGCCCCATGACCAGCGATACGGGTAGCATGGGGCTCAGGGCCCCGGCGATCGCGCAAGTGACGTTCAAGAACGTCACTACAGGAGAACCTTCGTGGGCAGCGAAGAGATGGAGCATCACCAACACCATTGCTTTTGCGAACATCAAAGCATAGACAGTGGGCAGCTGGTCGTTGTACTTGAACTTCACACTCGACGGGAAAAGGACCATTCTCACAAGTTCGCCTCTGGTGGTACCAGCCCCAACCTCCGTGCAGTAAAGGAGGGCGAATCCCCCGTGTTCTGTCTCGCCTCTGGACTCAATGATGCGGGTCCCTGCAAAGGCCTTGCTGCTCTTCGGGTGCTCTTGAGAGTGGTCGACGTCTTCGACAGGCACCTTTGCGATGGGCATGGGCTCACCTGTCAGCATTGACTCATTGACGATAAGGCTGCCGCTGATTAGCATGCCATCGCAGGGGAGTTCGGCATCCTTTCCTCCCGTAACTTGGACGATGTCGCCCTGAACAATCTCCGAAACATCCAGCTGCCGAAACTTGCCCTCGCGCAGGACTACGCAGCTTTTCTGCATCCTCGCCAAATCGGAGACTCTCTTCTTGTTCGGTCGTGTAATCCCAAGCGCTCGATAAGTCCCGGAGCCAAGAGTCATGAACAGCCAAAGGAGACCGATATTCCAGGTGGTGTACCTTGTGCTTGATACGTGCAAAAATCAGTCAGAAACCACTCCCGGAGCCGCCTGCAGCCCAAATCACAAATCTTAATGATTAATGTCCAAGTGGTTGGCGCAACGTATGTCCAGATCGCGATTGAGTTGAACACGTATGTGAAGTGCGAGAACTCGCAAGCCAATGCTTCCAGCCGACCTAAGAATTTGGTGCACTTATTTCCGGAGCCGACTTTTTGGGGGTGGTTCCAGGTTTCAAAACATACAAACACACAACTTCCCAACTGCGAAGGATTGCATCTCTGCTCAAACCCTTCGGTTTGATCGATGGCCTAGCCAGTGCCTAGCACGAGCTGCCCACACTCAGAGAGGAAAAGACCTCCAAAGCACGGAACGAGCGGCAAAACCCCGCGGGCTGCGAGAAGAGCCAAGGCACTTGGAACTGGGACGTGGATGGAGTTTGGCCCACAGCTCTCCTGGGAAGCGGCAGCTTCCGCCTGACGCAAAAGAAACAAACCGAAATCGGGTGGAAAAAGGATGCAGAAGGGTGGTGCCTCCGACAGGCCGCCCGACCGCAGTCTGCGATGCATTTCTCCGGCCTCGCAGGCAAGGGCCGCAAGGGCTTCAGCTGGTCTTGTGGGCCGCGGGCCTCGGGCTTGCAGAGGTTGGCGAGGACGAAAGCATCGCGAGCCTCGCCTGAGTAGCTGCGTGTCACAACTTCTGGTCACCATCCTAAACACGAAAGGCAAAGCCACATGCCACACAAAAGCCGTGTCTCTGCAGACGTACCTCACGCAGGTGTACTCTATGTACCGATGGCCACTCTCAGATTGAAGGACAGGCAGGATTTCACGGATGCGAGCTCGATGCAAGTATTCGCCGAGGACGACCAACAGCGACTTCCGCAGCTCGTCGACCCCCATTTCAACCTTTGGGCACTCCTGAACTAGCAGGTGCGTCGCTGCACACATCCTCGGAACTGGCAACATGGCGTGAGAGTGTACGGCATCCCAAAAGACAAGGAGTACCGAGAGGAAGAAGTGTTCGAGAACGAAGCAAACGACCCAGGGGAGCATGAGACCATCCCAGGATTCGAAGGTGTGGAGCCAAAACTCTGCTCCCGGTGGAAACCACAAATTTGCAAAGATCACGTAGGACATCCAACATCCCCACAGGATGAATACGTAGCCCACGCCGAGCAGTACCATCCAGGACCTCATGAGCCATGAACCGAAGACGGACGTGCGGTAGCCAATCTGCATGAAGTGACGGGACTGCGAGGTTCCGCCTGCTGGGGCTCCCGGTTTACAAACCTTGAGCTCCGCGCTCGCCAACTGGCCTCTGCTCTGCAGATTGCCGGTGAAGAGTTGGCGATAAATGTACCAAAGAAACGTTACAAAGCAAAATCCGCAGCAAACCCACAGCTGCACACGAACCAGCGTCCAAGTTATCGGAGACAAATGCGATACCATGGTCGCAAAATGCTGGGCCTCCTTCCCGACTATTCCACTTTGTTTCCAATTGACTAAGCTATAAAACCTGCTTCGGGAATTGTGCCAATTACCAGTCACCAGTCCTCACATGTCCGTGCTTCGAGCCACGGCGAGCCAGGCCTCTAACTGCAGCAAAGACAATTGGAGCAGCTTGGGGACCCAGGCTTTGGCAGACTAGCTCACGGTTGGAGGTTCCACATACTGCCGCTTCAAAACGGGGTCTGGGTTCCGGTTCCAGCCCGCAGCCCCCAAATGTCAAGAAGCGCGTGCGAGTGTTCGAAGGTTATCGGCAGTTTTTTTCCCGTGCTGCCTTGGAACTCACTCACCGGTGCATACCTTCGTTGAAGGCGCTACTTTTGAACTCCAAAAGGAAACCACCTTCGGCTGGGTTCAACACCCTGGCCTCACGAAGTGCTCTCAAGTGAAGCAACCGAAGGTGACTACGGAGCCATTGCTTCCATCTGCTCCAAGGCTTTCTCCGTGTCCAGAGGCATCATGTACCACACGGGAAGTTGTCCTGACAAATTGCTTTTCCTAATGTACGTTCCTGCCGCATCCGGTGTGTGTGTGTGTGTTGTGTGCGTTGTGTGTGTGTGTCTATCAATCTCATGTTTCGCTGCAAATCAAACACACCGGACGACGCACGCACGCACACCCGTCTCGACTGAACTCATATTGATATCTTGTCAAGCAGGCCAACTAGATACGACAATGTACTATACGATCAAGGCCAATGGTCCTTCTTGGCTAGCTGGAGAAAAACCCAGAAACACCTGGAATTTCCAGGAAAACTCAGGGTGGCTATAAACAACTGAAGAATTCCATCCATCAGCATTCCTTCAACATCTCCTGGCACACACTTTCACTTTCCACAATACGAAGCACTTCCTCCAATCTCGCTGTTTGGGGGCCTGCCGACCTCATGAAACCTGGACAGTTCCAGGACAAAACAAGCCAGATCAAGCTGGAAGAAGCAAGAAAAAGCTAACAAACACTCGAACAAGCTAGATGTCGGACTCGCTAGGAAGTCCTAGCGACTCATGCTTTCAGCAAAGGAGACATGAGATCGATTTTCTCGTTGTCTGAGCCCAGAGAAGCACCTTGTTTGTGCATGCGAGAGGGGGGGGGGGGGTCCGTGCCCTTGTTTGTTTAAGGTTTTCGTTTGGAGGGTTTCTTGGGGAGTGGGAGGGGCGCGGGCGGGTGGGAGTGGTTGCGACCATGTTGTTGCTACCTTGACTTCTAACTGTAAATGACTCCTTTAGTAACCTGAAACCCAGAACCGTTAGTCCATGAAGGGGTGTTGCTTGTTGCTACTCCCCCACCCAGACACAAAGAAAGAAAGCAAGAAAGAACGAATCAAACAAATAACGATGAAGTTAAATATGAAAGACCTAGAAAGAACGAAAGAACCAACGAAAGACATAAATAAATCAATAAATACCTGTAAATCAATAAGGAAAGATAAACGAACGAACGAAAGAACTACATGGGGAAACACATAAATACAGAAAGACAGAAGTAACGAACGAAACAAAGAAATAATGAACGACATAAGTACAACATGTACAGAAAGACAGAAGAACAGAATACATGACCTAATAACGACAAACAGATCGACAAAACTTTAAGAAACCATCAGTTCAGGAAAAAACCGTAAACAACCGGAAGATCCGAAGAAAGAAGGAAACATCGGCGGGCCTGGTGCAAACCGAACCGCCCTTAAAAAAATCAGGGCTCGGCAACCATCTGTGGAGTTTTTTGTGTAGTAGGGCCTTTTAGATCATGCGGTGGCAGCAACCGCACATTTTCAAACACCTGTACATCGACTATCGAGATCAACACGGCGTCAGCATTGTTAGCATTAAACAACATCCACCATCTCGGAGACGTGTGGGATGCTTTGACAGGCCCAGCGTCCGGTGCGATTGCAGACAGCCGCCTGTGCGCTTGACCAGCTCCTCTTGATCCGATCGACCTCGTTCGCGGTGGGCGGTGGTGGGAGTCGAAGGGAACGGACAAAACATGCAGTTAAGGCTCCGTGGATTCCACAAGGCTCAGTTCTGGTGAGGCCAGGCCCGAAACGGCGAAGCGATGGTAGAGCATCCTGACAGATTTTCCCTTTGAGCAGCAACGTACTGCAGCCGCCGATCGAGTGAGGACGCGAGGGACACCAGGCTACTAGGCCACTAGGCCTGCCTGCGACTGGTAGCACAAGCCGGGTCCTCAAGCTGCCCATGGCGTCGCGAACCTGCTCCAAGGTCTCGAAGGCCAAAGGGGACGCGCAGCCTCCGAGCTGAGTTCTGACGCTTCTGCCCCGCTATCGCGCTCTCCAAGCACGGCTTCTGTCACAAAGCTACGTTGCAACAAAAAACTGGGCTTGGAGTGCAGCTCTGCAACGCTCTGCCACGCTCTGCAACTTGGCTGCATTGTTTGGACATTTGCCGTGGTCCTGGCCTTCCTGTTGAAGGAAGGTGACGAAAGCCTCGCCGTCGTCCAAGTGGGACGCCAGCTCGCCTCAAATGCCCAGCTCAGCATCTCTCAGCTCGCAGGGTCACAATGGTTCTTACCTCCTTTGCTGCGTCTCTATGATGTGAGCTCAAGTCGCGCGTGCGGTGAGTGCCAGTGGCTCAGCGGCTCATCTGAACCCCTCAGAGACACCCCGTCTCTTCAGCTCAGTCGCCCATCAGGTTCGAACACAGCCGCCAAGTCTTCTTGAGCGCCCTGGACGAGGCAAACGAGTTTCTTTTAAGGATCGCGGAGAGGTTCAGCATCAGCATGTAACAAGCATCATATGCAGACATGCTCAGGATCAAGTTTGAACTTGTGGACTTGCTCACCTCAAAGGCGGAGTGTATAAGTAGGCGCCAGGTCGCCTTGACTCTTCATCTTCGCTTGGGGTGATTGGCAGTCTGGGGCGACTGCAGCGGCCGTGCAAGAAGCACTTGCGTGATACGCAAGCCATGAGCCAGAAACAGAGCCGGGTTTTGGGGCCCGGAATTGCCACAGAACTCCACAGAGCCTGTGGGAGCTGTCGGTGACCGCCATGGTCTGCCTGTAGATGGAAAGCAAGCTGGCGAAGTCCATGGAACCTTGGAGGAGCACGTGAGCTGTTGGCGGGTCTCCCAGAAACCGGTGCTCCTTGGAACCGCCTACGCAAGGATGGGCTTGGTGGGCTTGGACTCTCCGCTTCCAGCAAGTCCAACAGGGCGGATGGCAGTCTTCTACCCGAGCGGCACTGCTGGTAGTTCGCCATCGCCTGTGATCCAGACTCGAAGCCTCAGGTGCACTTCGCCATCACACCTCTGCGCCGCGGAAGGTGTCAAACCTCAGACTAACAATGAATCTTCTCAACCAGGATGCTGCTGATTTCGTTCTCTGCCTCATCGACATAAGAATCCACAGCACCACGGATTTTCCACCAAATGCCTTCCATGCAAGCAACGACTGAGGCTTCGGTTAATTTGCGGACTCGTGAACCAACAGTGTGAGGTGCAAGCTTCAAGTCCACGCCCCCTCTTTTGTGTATGCTTGGATGAGTTTAGCATGGGCTGGTCGGCTGCGGGATCTCCGACTCCAGAAGCGTCATGCGGGTCTTGGTGAGGTGTGCACAAGGTCTTGAGATCACGGAGTTGCCGGGGACACTCGGGAAAAAAGTGATAAAGGGCCAGGCATGGCGCACCTTGAATGCCATCATGATGAACCCCTGCCCCTCCCCAACTACAGTTGGTCTCCGAAACACTTTAGCAATCGCATTCGACGGGGAGAAATCGATAGCTGCCTTAGCTCCTCGCCTCACTGCTAAAACAAGCAACGCCCTTGTACCATCCCTTCGGTCCGTCCCGCTGAGCTTTCGACGATCCAAGTCCAGAACCATTGCATGGCGCTCGGACGTAGCCAAGCTGGACCTGCCGTTCCCTCATGTTGCGCTGTGTGTCACCGAGCATGCACAAGTTCTTTTTGTGCATTGTTCACCCGAGCTCACGCACATTTCGACGGTGGACTCTGCATCCAAAGACTTCTACCAGCTTTGGATCCAATCGCAGGAAACAGGAAACTCTCGTGAACGCTGCACTGCTGCAGGTGCCATTCCATCGGAGAATCAGAGAGTCTGGCGCTGGGCCAAGCCGGACAAGGCATCTTTTGGAAAAGACTGTGACTGTGCCAGATAAGCCAAATGCCAATGCGTCTGTGATGGAATAACTTCATCTATACTGAAGATTCTTCCCGCGAGACCTCTTAGCGAAGATCGAAAACCCAGCCTCTGACGTGCTGCCTGAAGCGTGCGGTTCCCATTCCTCGGCTCGAATGTAGTGCTTCGCTTCTTTAGGGTCTCTGGCCTCGATCCGACGTGCAGCAAAAATGTGGAGCTTCTCTCGCTACCAATTACTGGGGTGAGGTGCTGCCCAAGTAATCAAGCAATAGTACAGTTTGGAGCTCAAATTGACCCAATGCTGGTCGCGCAGTGTGCAGACTTGGGCCAAGGCAGAGAGCAAAGC